GATGGAAAAACTGTCATGGCTATTTTCAAAGGGTCCCTTGACCTTTGACACCTCAACAAATCTGAATGAAAATAGTGTACCAGTGTACTTCTGCATAGGGGTCCCTAAACAGTATTGGAATTGCATAAATTGGGTATGACAGGAAAACTGAGACTCTTGTGGAGTCAATGAGCCCAATTGTATTTATGTGTGATGATTGTCCATGACTGTCTATATAAAATTACCTATATTGACCTCTAGGATAATTACAGCCTGATAAATTTGTACAACCTCAAACTACAGACTGAGGGCATCCAGAAGTTGGATGGATATTGACGGCATTGATTTCTCAATATATTTCAGTTGTACTTTAGGCTAGGTTGAGATTAAAAGGAAGTTGCCATGAAAAAGTTAATTGTCTTATTACATCATTCGAAGCTAGATGCCCTGCCCACTTTGAGACTCATTCTGGCACCACTGAGCCAACTACTGAGAAAAATGTAGAAGCATAGCCTCTGCCATGGAAACAACTACACATGTAGAGACAGCATCTGGGAGTGCTCTCAAACTCCCCAAATTTGTGTTTTAATATATTTTTAAGACCTAAGCCAAAATTGTTTAAATCGACTGGACCAGGAGATTTTGTCTATTGCACGGCTGCACATTCAGATGCTGCAGCCAGTTGGCTAGTTTCTTCAAACTTCTCATATTACCTATGGCAGGAATACACTACAGTGATTAAAATATGTTTTGAAATGTAATGCCAACCACATTACGTTTTCTATTAATAAGGAAATCTTGTTACATAGCAAGTCTCAAAAATGTTGACTATGAATGTATCATTAAAATTATTACTTTTATTTCCTGCCAACATACACTATTCAATCGTAGTGACTTGGGACATAAGCTTTTTATTAACATTGAACCAAAATCACAAAGTTTCCTTTCTTTTTTTTAAGGAGTCTGGAAGTGAACCCTGGACTGTGGTGTGACAGCCCAGCACTTTGTATGTCCACCACACACCCAGACCACCTCCTTGTGACTCCACAGTGTTACTGTTAATTTCTAGGAGACAGGGTTGCCCCAGGAGAGAGAGAGCTAGATAGGAGCCATGCCAATGATTTCCTATATGTATGTATATAAATAACTGTATTGGTTTATTTTTGTTTATTTATTTTATGTTATTTTATAAATTTAATGTGTATAGCATGAAGGGACTGCAAACTCTGATTCTGTTATACAACCTGGTTTGATGTTAATAAACATTAAGTTACGTCAGTCAATATTGCCATATGTTATTCTATCATGAACCAATCTTAGCTAGCTAGTTGTTGTTTTTTCAGGTCAAAGCAACATCCCCTTAAAATGTCTGTGCACGTCCCTGGCTGATATGACAGAAGGGCATGGATACACGGCCGTCACCATTATTTTTGTAACCTGATCATTCTCATTTTACCATAAACATTACCCCCACCAGCCCATTTCTGTCACAACCACCATCAGACAGTTTCTGCTTTTCCACTGAAGGATGTGGAATTCTGATTTTCTAAGATGTCATTTCTTCGACAATTTGTTCCTGCAGTAGTTAGTTATGTCATTCATTAGTAGGTGTCAAGTCAACTGTCAAGCACACAAACACGGGTAAGTCTCTGTGTGCGACTGTAGACACAGTGAATTGTGGGATGCATCAGTGCTAAAAGACCTTGACAAACTGAGCTGCAGCCAACTGAGAGAAGTAATTGGAGGAGCTGTCTGACAGCTACATTAATGCCGAGGCTAATCACCTAATGACCATACACCTATTAGATTTAGACATCTCTCTTTCAGCACAAATCTGACATGATGTAGCACACTGATTAAGGTGCATTTACCCATGTAGCGTTTTTTACGTTCACAGGTATAGGAGTATCTTCATAAGCGCATTCCAATCTGACCACTTTATCTCTGTTCACCTGAATGAGCTGCTGCTATTTTTAAATGAAAAATAATCTGTGTGTATCAAAACAACTATGGGTGTAAGAAAATACTGATACACTTGAGTATAGGGAAATAGAATATTATATTCATAGGTATGTTTTCATTAGTGTATATTGTGTTTGTAATCTACAGAGGGGGTCCTCTTCTACAGCCAAGTCTTTTGCTCCAAGTCTTTTTATTAATATTTATACATGGAGAGATAGTGTACAAAGTACATAAATTC